TTTTATAGCCTGTGGGGTGTGGTCCAGTGACTCAGCTTAATCTCTGGCACGTCTCCTTTTCTGCTGCGCACGCTTGTCGCTCCTACGCTGGCGTGGATCCAGCCACAACTTCTCTTCCTCACTATCCGAAACACCTGGCTCCTGGCCAATCTCAGAAACACCTGGCTCCTGGCCAATCTCAGAACCACCTGGCTCCTGGCCAATCTCAGAACCACCTGGCTCCTGGTCAATCTCTTCTCCGTCGGGAGACACCTGAGGCCTTGCCAAAGAGGAGGGTCCTGGAGAGGGAGGCCTGGCCATCTCCTCTCCTTCATGTTCGGAGCCTTCTTCCTCCGATAAGAGGGTCTCACAAGACGGAGCCACAACAGGGAAGGGCAGGATAGAAGAAAGCATTTTCCTCAATTTGCTTTCTATTAAACAGATGTTTTGCCATTGGCCACATGTCCCAGAGTAGCTATTTTGTAAATAGGCAAGATCTCCTGCCATGAGGATCATTTTGAGGAGCTCTTACGGTACAACTTAATGTTCGAATTCTAGTCATGCCCTCCAGACCCCAAAAGTTGCCTATCCTAGCATGCTGATGCCTATCACTAGCTGGGACCATCAAGAAAGTAACAAATGGCAAAATGTAAAAAAAAAACTTGTGAAAGTAAGTATAATTGATTCCCTGCAATTCTTTCATAAATGGCTCAAAGATGCAAGTGAGCCGATCTAGTGACAAGTAGAATATCCAGCCGTTGGGGAAGCCATAAAGGTTTTTGAAATAGACATGGATTGGCTTCTCTTGTGGGTGTTAATAAAAATTTTCCTTTTCCGTGCTTTCCTTTTGGTCTTGCATCATCTGTTCCTGTAATTTCTGACCCTTTCTTTGTTTGATCTGAGCAACACTTTAGACTGTACTGAAATGGAAGCTTGAAAATATTTGGTACTGACCAGTTTAGAGATGGACTGCTTAATTTTTGAATCCTATAAGTGATACATAAATTAGATTAAAATGTAGATACCTATATCGGAGTTTTAGTGTAAGTACCTTTGAAGAAAGTGGTGATTGGGCAAATTAAAGGTGATCGTATGATTTTTAGAAGGGGGAAAATGTGAAGGTGTGTGTGTCTGTTCCATATTATCATAACACAGTAAAATTGAAATGGCTTCCAACATTATGAGTTTGCAGTTAACTAGTACATCAGCTATAGTTGAGGCTGATCCCCAACAGTTAAAGCATCAATTGGTTAAACAACAACTTTAATTCCTCAAACTTTGTTCGTGTTTGATAATCTATACTTGTATTCCATGGGAAAATCCTCTTACAGCAGGGGTCTCCAAGTTTGACAACTTTTAAGATTTATGGACTTGGGGCACACAGAGATGTTCTATGTCAAGGACCATTTGAAAACGAAACATTCCAAGAGCTGGTTAATTTTGAACACTGTGCACACTTGTAAGATAATTTGTTCTGTTTAAGACCTTGAGAATTAAATACTGTGCTTTATTTGTATGGATAAAGATGAAGTAAACCTAGTTGTGGCTCATGCTGTTTCCAAGGTCTATCTTTCCGTTCCTTCACTACGGCCCATATGTTTACTTTCCTGTGTCAGGAGCGGGAGAAGATTGTGGCTGCCATTAGCGATTCCCCAAAGCCCCCCTCAGAGCGGATCACATTGACTTTGCCTGTGCTGAATGCAGCAAGGAGTGTGGTGTTCGTTGCCACAGGGGACAACAAGGCTGCAGTGATAAAGGTACTGTCCTTTGGAAGGAGATATAAAAGGGAAAAATAAGGGGTCGAAAACTCACGACACCCGCTATACCGTCACTACAGTAGTATCCCCACCCCGTTTTATAAGTCGGAAAACCTTTACAAAAAAATTATTCCCTCATTTTAAACATTGGGGGGAGTTTGGAATCAGGTGGAAAGGAAATAAAAGAGTCTGTAGGGGGAGGAATTAGTTGTTGTTACCCATGCCATCAAATTCCCATATTATATCCCCAAATTTTGATGGTACAAAATTTCTAGGGGCTGCAGAGAAGAATATAAATATAGCTTGTGGACAGGGATTGCCACTCCGGTTTTTCAGTTTTGCTCTGAAAAGTTTCTTGCAAAGGTTTTGTTCGTTCCTCCTTGGCTTGCTGAGCTGGAGAGGAATTAATTATGCTGAGCTAATACACTGAGGAATCAAACTTGTTTGCTTCAATTTGAATTGTGGCTTTGTCCAGTTCACACATTTTTCCTTTTTAATGATGGCTGCACATCTCCTTCTTTCTATTGTAGAATTTTCTAAGAAAGAGTAAGGCTCTTCCTTTGGCAGTAATTCACCTATGACTGTTCCCAGTGCTGCCTAGCAAGGAAAGTGTGTGTGTGTGTGTGTGTGACCTTTATTTATGCATATATTTCCTTAGACATTGCCTGGTTCCAAGGTGACCCTGGGCAGCTCACAACTTAAAATATGTTGCCTCTGTTATGTTATGTATTTTGAATACCGTATGCAAAGTGTAGCTTTTGAAAGCATGGGTGCCTGATCTTTTTCTTTCTTGCCACAGCGTATTTTGGAAGGCAACGAGGAAAACCCACTGCCGGCTGCCCTTGTTCAGCCACACACTGGGAAGCTTTACTGGTTCCTGGATGAGCCAGCTGCAAAGGAGTTGACCATTCCCTTTGAGAAGCATTCCATACTGTAGGAGCTTCATGTCTTGCAGCCTTCTGGGTTGGGAGAAGTCCACCAAGTACGGGGTGTGGGTAGAGCCCCACCCTCTAACATTCCAGGTCACGGTCTCCACGTCTGGTCGTAGCGCTAAGGAGCAGCACTAAACTAACACTGTCTTTCTTTTCTTTTCTTTTTTTTCTTCCTTTACTTTTCCCCCCTCCCCTGATTTTTTTTTTTTTACATTTTAAGAAGTGTAAGTTTGTGGAGCACGGTGTAACAAATATGATTATTGCTTAACTAGGGCAAAGTGTGACATGGGAAATGCTTGGGTCCAGCTACTAGGTATCAAGAGAGTTGGTTACAGTCTTTATCATGTGAATGGTCTAATGTGGTGTAAAATGGATGCACAATTAAAGGTGTAAATTAAAGTCACTCAGTGCTGGCACAATGTGTTCCTCTTCTCTGTGTGATTTTTCTTTAATCATTAAGTAACGGGAGCGATGAGGCCTATTTTATTTTTTTGACTGTATCCACCATGGCAGATTAAATTTATGATGTTGAAACTGTAGATATTTAATACTCATTATACTAGCATATTGCTTCACCCATGCACTCCTTAGGATTATACTACAGCTTCTATTTCTGAATCTGAATGATGATTAGGAATTATGACAATTGTACTTTAATATATATGGAGGATGCTTCTACATTCTAGAAATCCTGTCAGATGCTTCTCTAGGTTGCTTGTGCATTTTCAGTTATATTCCATTCCACATTTTGACTTTTTAAAAAAGCTGAGATTTGGAAGAAACTGCACTGTGTCATACTGTCTTGCGTCTCATAACTTCAGCATACTGTAAGCTTGCCTGTTTCTTTTCACTGAACACTATCAGTCCACCTAATTCTTCCATAAACTTCCTATGTCTTCTTTATATCCATTGTGCCTCAGCCAAGTTCTGTTTAAAGTAAAGATTAAGATTCCCTCAAACTGAGTTTAGGTCCTGATTACTTTATGGATACATCTATTTAGCTACCGTATCTGGATTGCAAAACTCTGGATAATAGTTAACAGCAAAAAAAAGTTAAGACTCTCTACATCTTTTTTGCTACCATCTGGTGACTGTCTAGAGTTGTTTAAAGCCCACATATGGTGGCCCAATATTTAAGAGGCTGTCCCTAACACAGAAGGATCGCAGAAAATGTGAAAGCCATTTTTTCCAGCAGTTAAGGCACAAAGCTAAAAAATGGGACTGTGAGTTCTAATCCTGCCTTAGGCATGAAAGCTGGCTAGGTGATTTTGTGCCAGTCATGTATTTTCAGCCCAACCCACCTCATGGGGTTGTTTTGTGGGGGAAAATAGGAGGAGGAAGGACTTTGAATATATATTTGATATATTCATCACCTTGAATGATTTATTCTCCTCACAACAAATGAGAATATACATAATACAGACAGGATAATTTTGTTTAAAAAAAATCATGGGCACAGGGTGATAGGCAGTTGATAAAGAGAGTGAAGAAAGACCACTAAGACTCACTCCAGCTGCATTAAATTTGTTAGGCCAAATACCACAATTCCCTGACTCAACTAGGAAATTTCAGATCCAGCATAATTGTGTAGGGAAGACTGGTCTACTAAAAGCTGTCCTAGATTTGGTTCATTGTAAGTCCAAGTTGTAGTGCTTCCTGAAATGTTCTTGAGAAGCATGGAAATGGCTGGCTTTAGAGAGCATGGAAATCAGTGCTTTTTATTAGCTGCTTAGCAGCTTTCAAAGACTTCTAACAAAAGGAATTAATTATGCTAGACTAGGAAGAATGAATTAAAATGGTGGGCAGCTTCTGGGAATATTATTTTAATTGGTCTGTGAGGCTGAATGTATATTTCATTAGCAGTTGAGTAATGGAAAATTAATAAGTACCATCCAGTTCAGTGCCTTTTTATACATAAAAGGCTTTTAGACAAAAAGCACAGTCCAACTATTCATTGCTGATGATTTATTTTTGGTTGTGATGGAAAAATTGCATACACTAGGAACCTTGGAGGGCCACAGAAATACACAATCTTTCCCAAACTTGTAGGTTAGAACTTTTGGTTTGTGAAAAACTAAAATGGCTGCTCGTTTACATGATAAAGTAATGGGGAATACCATATTTCATGGCATAGAAGGTCACACAGGCCCAACAAATGTCAGCAATATGGGGCAGGTATACTTCATATGAGCACTAAAAATAGAATTCTATGCCAATTTAATTGTTGCATTATAACTGGAAACCTAGGTTCAAAACCACAGTCAACCGTGAAACTATGGTAGTCCTAGGTTGGACCTAGATCAATCCCTCAGTCAAATCTACCTCATTTGTTGTGAGGAAAAAGGACAATGAGGCCATGGGCTGTATAAGGGTGGAATATGAAAGTGATGGAATTTTTTCATAGGGGGAACGTACAGGGCTGAAAATTTGAGGCCCTGCAAATGTTACTGAATAAATTCCCACTTACCGTAACTCTCACCAGTGGTTATGTTAGAAAAGACTGCTAGGATTTACAGTTCAACAACCTCTGCAGAACTACAGTTTGCTATCCTTGATAAAAAGAGTAATATATATATTACTCTTAATATAAAGAGTAATACATTGACTTACCACCACAATTGAGCCCAAAATTTTTGTTAAGCAAGATGATTGAGTTTTGCCCCATTTTAGGAACTTTCTTCCCACAGTTGTTAAGTGAATCATTACAGTTGTTAAGTTAGTAAGACAGTTGTTAAGTGAACCTGCTTTTCTCATTGCCTTTGCTTGTCAGAAGGTCGCAAAAAGGGATCACATGATCCTGAAACACTGCAATTATCATAAATGTGAACCATCTGAATTTTGATCACACGACCACAGGGATGCTGCCACGGTCGTAAGTGTGAAAAATGGTCATACTTCACTTTTTTCAGCGACTTTGTAACTTTGAATGGTCACTAAATGAATTATTGTAAGTTGAGGACTACCTGTCATTCTGGCAAGAGCTCATTTCCCCCCCACACAAACAAAAATAAAAGTTGTTGCAGAAAACAAGTAATTTATGCACAATCAAATCTTAACTTTCATTATTTCAAATGTCTTTTGCATATGAAGACATGGTCAAAGGTATGTTTTGACTGTCTAATTAGCTGACTGATTTGTCCAAGAGGTTTTTTGGATGAAGAATGAGATTCAGATAATAATAATAATAATAATAATAATAATAACAACAACAACAACAACAACAACAACAACAACAATAATAATAATAATAATAATAATAATAATAATAATAATAATAATAAAAGTTGGAAGGGACCTTGGAGGTCATCTAGTCCAACCCCCTGCTCAGGCAGGAAACCCTACACCATATCGGACAAATGGCTGTCCAGTCTCTTCTTAAAAACTTCCAGTGTTGGAGCATTCACCGCTTCTAGAGGCAGGTTGTTCCACTGGTTAATTGTTCTAACTGTCAGAAAGTTTCTCCTTAGTTCTAGGTTGCTTCTCTCCTTGCTTAGTTTCCATCCATTCATTTAGTAAATTAAATAAGCAATGATTTTTTTTTGAAAAGCAAACAACTTTTATCTGGGTGTGCTATTTGATATGCTACAATCATTATGAGACTGTTAACATGCGGAGATGTAACAAGACCTTCCTTTGTAACCAAATAATTCTGCTAGGGAGTTTCCATTAGTTTTGCTCTGTGCTTATTGTGTCACTTCTAGCTTTTCCTATGTAAAACAGGAATTTGTATCATTAAAATAATAGGAAATGTTGCATGTTAAGGGAAAAGATACAGAAAGAAGTTGCACTAGGCAGAAATAAAGGAGTACCCAATTTATATTCTGTGTTCTTCAGGCTTGGTTGAAACTTTTACTTGTTACTCTGAGGCAGGAAACCTGTATTTTCCTGGGAGAAACCGCACCAAATCTTGTTCAGTCTTTCCAAATTGTTAGTTCAAGCTTGCCTTAGATTTTGTTGCTGTTTATTCAAATTGGCTGGTGCTTTCAGTCCAATTTTCGGGAGACAATTCCTACTCCGGTACTTAAAAGCTCCTAAATAAGCTTGCCGAAGAAAAGTTTAGCTGATGAAGAACAAGGATTTCTTTACAGTTGGTCTTTTTTCTTTGGTTTATACAGTCAAACTTTTTCTATGGTAGAGAATAGTCTAGAGTTTCAGATTTAAAACAGCTGTGTTTACTTTTGCATATAGAGCAAATACAGCATACTCCACATGTATAAAGGAAAATACATATACAGTGCATTCAGAAAGTATTCAGACCCCCTTCACTTTTGTCAATTTTGTTATGCTGCAGCCTGATACTACAGTTGTTGAAATTCATTTTTTTCTCATTAATCTACACTCAGTACCCCATAACAACAAAGTGAAAACAAAATCTTAGAAATGTCTGTAAATTTATTAAAAAGAAAAAACTGAACTATCACATTGGCATAAGTATTCAGACCCTTTGCAACAACACTTGAAATTTAGCTCTGGTGCCTCCCATTTCTCTTGATCATTGCTGACATGTTTCTACACCTTGACTGGAGTCCACCTATGGTAAATTAAATTGCTTGGACATGATTTGGAAAGGCACATACCTCTCTAGAAGGCCTCACAGCTGACAATGCATACTGTAACAAAGCAAAAGCCATGAGGTCAAGGGAACTGCCTGCAGAGCTCAGAGACAGGATTATTGCAAGGCCCAGATCTGGGGAAGACTACAATAAAATTTCTGCTGCTCAGAAGGTTCTCAAGAGCACAGTGGCCTTCATAATTCTCAAATGGAAGAAGTTTGGCCTCTTCCAAGAGCTGGTTGCCCAGTCAAACTGAGCAATTGGGGAAGAAGGGCCTTAGTAAGAGAGGTGACCAAGAACCCAATGGTCACTCTCACTGAGCTCCAGAGATCCTGTGTGAAGATGGGACAGGGTTCCAGAAGAACAGCCATCACTGCAACCCTCCATCGATCTGGACTATATGGCAGAATGGCTAGACGGAAGCCTCTCCTCAGTGCAAAACACACAAAAGCCCACTTGGAGTTTGCAAAGAAGCACCTGAAGGACTCTCAGACTATGAGGAACAAGATTCTCTGGTCTGATGAAACCAACACTGAACTGTTTGGCCTCAATTTTAAATATTATGTCTGGAGAAAACCAGACACCGCTCATCACCTGCCCAATATCATCCCAACAGTGAAGTGTGGCGGTGGCAGCATCATGTGTTTTTCAGCAGCACGGATTGGGACTGGGAGATTGGTCAGGGTTGAGGGAAAGCTGAATGGAGCAAAGAACAGGGATATCCTCAATGAAAACTTGTTTCACAGTGCTCAGGACCTCAGACTGGGCCAAAGGTTCACTTTCCAACATGACAATGATTCTAAGCACACAGCCAAGACAACACAGGGGTGGCTTAGGGACAACTCTGTGAATGTCCTAGAGTAGCCCAGC